CAGGCTGCGGCCCCTGCGCGGCGCTCTTCCCCGGGTCTGGGAGCCCGCGGGAGTCCCGACCGCACCTGGCAGCACCTGCCCCCTCGCCGAGCCCTGGGGCCTGGCGAGCTCCGGAAGCCGGTGGGGGCCGCTGGGGAGATGTGCTCGGTGCCTTCTGCTCGGGGAGAGCCGCCTGGGGAGCCTCAGGGGCGCGCCTTCCCCCTTACACCGCCGATCCACCCCAAGCAGAGCCAGGGAAAAAGTGAAATGGAGTTAACTCGGCGAGAATAAGTCTGCTGAAACCGTACCCCTAAAAAAGCCAACCCCACTCCTGAAAATACAGCACTTTCCTCCCCTCTCGAGGTGCCCACACCCCCGTGCCACCCAACTGCCACCTTGGGCTGCGACTGGCGAGATTTGTCTTCCTCTTCCGCAGCCACCACTGGGAGGAAGCGCTTGTCTCTGCGACCAGCTGTGTGGACTTGGCCAAGTCCCTCACCCTTCCCCAGAGGGCGAGACTCCGCTAAGGTCCCCTCAGCCCTCCAGTTCTGTGGAGCTCTGGGGTCACATCACCCGCTTCCCAGATTCCTTCTAGAGGACAGGCAGGCGGCTCATCTTTAATCAAAGCAGCATCCCCATCAGCCATTCCGAGCGCCCAGAAATGTGCTAATTATTAATTGAAGGGATGTTTGTTGAGCAATGTCACCCGTGGATGGCTCCCTAAAGCTTCCTGAATGGAGGACATCATTAGCATGAAGTCAAGGCCCCCACCCCTACAGAAGCCACACCCACACCTCCAGCCCTGAGGTCCTTCAGGAGGGCGGGGTACTGAGTCATAAGCACCACACTGCAGTTCCGACTGTTAAACTCGGAAATACTCCTCCCGGTTGGTATTCCCCACCCCACCCCAGCCCCACTGCTCTATAATCTTGCAACTAAAGAGTTGGTGCCTGACTCTGCTCCCATGGGGCCGGGACCAGTTCTAACTGGCGGGTGCTCCGGCCATGCTGTTTGTTACAATGGTGAGTTTCACTAATCTAAGTTACAACCGCACGGGGTGACCTGGTGCCTTCTGACGATGGTCAACCTGCCCCCAGCACCGATGCCCCACCCTGAGGCCAGCGTGGCCTTTCACCTTAAACCCTTGCCCCACCTAGTGCCTCCCTTCAGGCTTTTTTCTCAGTCTGCCTGGTAGCAGTTACAATTTCCCCGCATTTGATGATGTCTTCTGAGGCTGGGGCTGGATGCCATTTGGTTCCTCTTTTTTTCTGGTAGGGGTAAGCACTCTGCCTTTCTTTTCCAGGACAACTGCTTAGTCACTGACCCCTGGGCTGTTCAATTTCAGGCTGGAAGGAGTTGGGGGGAAAGCTCTGTTGACTGCAGAATTGTTAGATACTCACTAATCCATCTTCCCTCCAATTCCAATATACTCTCTCTATATACCCTTTTCTTCCCCAGGCATCTCCCTTCCTGCAAGAACGGGCCTTGCATGGGAAAGGAAGCGATACCTTGAGTTCAGTAAATCCCACAACTGCTTGTTTGAGTATCCCTTAGAGAAACCACATTTCAAGCAAGCCCAAGACAGTACGGATCCATGAGTAATTTTCTGCTTCTAAAGAAAATGCCTCTAAGAAGGCAAAGAAGACACACCAGGTATTCAGCTCAAAGGACCCTGCCTGGAAAATGACCCCGTGGTTGGATGAAAGAAGACTTCATCCTGTAGCAAGCAGAGCCCAGGTCAGTCATGCAGAAGGTGGAATCGAGAGAGAAAGGGCAGTGAGACCCCCATCACAGCCTCGCCACAGCCCACTGGGCCACTTAATTACCCCGTTGCCTAGAGTGATCGTTATCAGCCCAGCAAAGGCTAGTCTTTGAGGGAGGATTAGTAGCTCGAGTGGGAGAAGTTTCAGCGCAGTGTTGTCCTCGGGA